CGCAGCACAAATCCGTGAATGAATGTTCCGAAGTGAAGTAAACTTCAACAGATTTCCCCTGCTTCCCTTGTGCGGACTGGATTTGGGAACCGCTGGGCTACACCATGTGTCATTCACCCGGTGAGAAAACTTTATAGTACAGTTAGTAAAAGGCGGTACTGCAAATGCATCTTATACAAAATAAATAATAGGCTATATACACGATATATTATAAACCGGTTGAAATGTTTTGAAATCACTTGTACCCTACCTGATCGAAAAAATCCTGTCTTACTCTCTGCCTGTGTCAATTTGAGTCTTGTTAAAGATTTAAATCCCTGCCGCCAAGACGCTCCTCTGTCGGTCACTGATTATGGAAAGTGAAATGTATATCTATAGGGGTGGTTGGATTTATTCACGCACGTTAAAATATTTATTTAAAGCTTCTTTCTTTTCAGATTCTTACTTACAGCATTATCTTAATAGGCTGTATATTAACTTATTGGGAGAAAACCAGTAGTTCTATGTGAAATCAGACATTTGAGCACCCCGATATAGCCAAAATGGCATGATCATAACACCCCGCGAATATTCGACTGTGAGATTGGTAGTCGAATCAGGCTTCTCCTATCGAAGCATCTAATCTTGGACTATTGGGGTCTCCCCTAAATTGGTAGACAATATTGGTCAATATTGAGCTCTCTTACCACCAACAAACAAGCTATCACATTCTATTAAGAATCATGAACTAGCCAGTTGGTACACAATCTCGATCAAACGATTATACATATTTTGACCATGGTTTCACCTTGGACCAGCTATAAACTAGCTGCCACATTAAGATGGTCTGACCTGGATATTCAAGAAGGACCCTTGACCAAAGGGGCTTTCGCACCAGAAGGACCTTTTCATAGTTCCTAGAACTATTAGCGGAACTACACGCTTTTTGGCGCGTTCGCACCACAGGAACTAGGAACATATTTAGTTCTAGGAACTCAGTTTGAGGGAACTAAATTAGCTCATACTTCTGTCTACAGATATAGGAACTACCAGTGATGTAAGTGTACGCTGATTAACCAAACACACGCGAAACATCGGCTACCCAGCATTTTTAAAAAGCCGTGTAAAAGTATTTAGGCCTACTCCACTAACATGGAAAACAGCGATAATGGCATTTAGCTACCTGTTGTCTGCAGCGTTGTGTTCTTTTCTCAGCCTTGATGATATGTAACACTGCAAGTTGTCATAGGAGATTTAGTGAGATTTTCATGCTCTTTTAATCACACAAATTGTGCGTTTACATTCCATCTCCGTTATCACAAAACCCACAACACACAACAAAAACAGCTCCAATCACAGTGTCCTCAATTCACCGGTTGTTGACGTTTGCTGTGCATAAAGACGTCAATGTCGGCAGCTTCAGAGTTCCTGCTGCTGGTGCCAATGCAACCAGGAAATCAGCTGGATTGGTTCTCTAGGAACCACTGGCTAGTTCCTAAAACTACGTGGTGCGAAAGCCCCTCAACTAGACTACTACAGGGCTCTTCAACTAGTCTTGGAGGGAA